ATGTTTCTTTGTTCAGGATTCGTGAATCAATGAAAAAACACGACTGTAGATTGACGTGTAATGAGCTTAAAGACTACTGAATGGTGCAAGCAATGAACGGTGTCGCTGATCAGCTGTAGTAATTTCCCGGATTGCTACATAAGGTTATATCACCAGATTACGCAAATCTCAATCTGGATGGCATCCGAAAGCGCAGAGACCAGATAGCCATGTTCATTTGCCTACATTTGCCATTTAAAAATGCGTTTGTTCGTTGCATTATAGTTGTACACTATCCTAAGACATCTTAAGAACCTTCTAATATACCTTTCAGTACAATAAATTCGCTTTCAATAAATCCTTAATTAATCGCCTCTAGCGACATGCTTGTTAGGAGTCAGTGAACTGGGTCTTTGACCTACACTGGGAAGACATTCCCCCTAAACCTCCTCAAAAGTTATAATTGGGGCACTAGTAACGGGTAGTAGCCTGTAATTTTCCTGAGGCAAGAAATATATATTTATCGATTGATCGGTATATCCCCTCCGGGAAGCTACCTGAAGGTTCACTACCCTGACAAACACAAAATCTGTATCTTGAGGACAGAGCAACAAGGCAGTGATACTTTGTTTAACGTTCGCAGAAATAAGTAGGGAATTCGTAACCCGCAACTACTTCAAGCCATAAACCAAGAAACTCTAGACATAGTGATAACCAAGAGAAGATGGAAATGGCTTGGCCACGTTATAAGAATGAATCCTGATATACCTGCCAAAACAGCTTTCACATGGACACCAGAGGAATTGAAAAAAAAGGCCGCCCAAAAACAACGTAGAGACGAACGAAAAATAAGTGACCTGATATCGACATCTCTGACATGAAAAACTGCACTGAAGATTGCACAGGAAGGAAAGCACGGAAAGTCCTCTATGAAGCCTCAGGTCCCTCTAGAACACTGATGATGATGATCCGTAACCTGCAGTTGTATGTGGATCAGGACCCGTTAAGAAAGGACCAAAAAAAAAAGAAAAGAATCGGTAATACCACGAAACTGAAAATAACTACAGCTATTGGATGTAGACACTGACAAATGTGTGCGAACCTCAGCTTTTTTTTCTGGCCGTTCGCAGTACTGGCACCTTTTCAAATTTTTTTTTAGCGCTGCTGTGATGACAAAGTTTGGTCGGTACAGATATGCTGCTGCTGCTACTACTGTTTCCCCCCCCCCTTTCCGATAATATAGGGGAGCTTTGCGTTGGTTTAGACAGTGGTATCATGGGGACAGGTCGTCCAGAGAGAAATGGCAAACTACTGGACGTAAAATTTGCTTAGAGAAACCACACAACAGTCAGGGGCTGCTCGGGTTGGTTCTGCAACGTCCTGTTAAGGATACGCAACTAAAAAAAAAGTATAAGAGAGTACCGTCACATTGACTTTTTTTCTTTAAAAAAAAACATTAAAAAAATTCTTCTTGCAAACAATACCAAACTGTCATTACTGTCTATATTTGTAGGCAAGGGGTATTTGAGCCTGAGGACTGAAGAACCGCATGGCTGGTGATGTCTCCACGGATTCTGCAGGTTGGAATTGTGGATTCTTATTACAATGACCGGTCCAAATAAACACTTGTTGACATTTCATTGATCTAATGTGTGAGCCACACAAAAATAAAACAGGAAAAAATAGTTGTGCCATTTGAGGTCAGCTTTATACCGTTGAATTATTTAACTCGTTTTAGTTTCATTACTGCTTTCTTGTATTTCTATGAGTGCTGATTATTATATGTTAACTAATTTCTCATTCTAATGTAATGCTATGTGATGTTCGTGTTTATTCGTGCTTACATCCCTTCGTTTACCTTCATATTTCGGCTGAAAGTTTTGGCTGTTCGTGAACTTCCTGACTGTCCTTTTTCCCAAACTCGAGTTTTACGTGCGTATCCGTTCTACAAATTTGGCTAATTTGTATGCAGGCTGTTGATTCTTTGAATCTCATGCGGATGCACCCGACTTCAAAGGGAAAGAAAAAAAAAAGAAAGAAGAACTAGCTAGAAATAAACAAAGCAAAATAATGATATCACACTAACTTTTCTGCCAATTACTGCCTTTTTTTTAACCACTTTTGCGGTGTACGCAGAAATAGCATGCGTATAAGGGGGATTTCTAGGCCCGAGAATTCACGGCCGCATGGCTAGTGCTGTGGCAACGACTGTGCAGGTGAGGATGGTATTTTGCTCCCGACAGAAAAAAAAAAAATCACCAATCTTACCGAGGAATCGAACCTGGGTCTCCAGCTTGAGAGCCTAGCATTCTAACCGTTCGACCAGCAACTCCTCATACCGACGTATCACTAATAGAGATTCAACATCTCACAAGCAACAGATTTTATACGGGTTTACTGACTCAGCGGGACTTTTGCAACGGTAAATCATACACAAAAGATGAGTCATGAACACGACTTATGACGGACAGTATCAGCATCAGTATCATCAAGTGCCACTCTCATAATCGTGGGCGGTCATGGTTCGCCAACTTATTTTGTCTTCTTCTTCGTGTTCACCAGCTATAAACTGCAGCGAAAGTTTTAGTTGCTCGTCCACCTCTGGATATTAGTCTTGTTCCTGAAAATCAATGTTGCATCCACATCCATTTCACTGATCGGACTTCATTGTTATGCATACTGTGGGTTTCTTGCCTCGTTGGCAAATGCACTACGACTTTGAAAGTTGCCAAAAGTTATTCGTCTCTTACGACATGTTTGTTGGGGAGACAGCTTGTCTTTCCTTGTTTTTCCCCCAAACCGGGGCTCTGGATCACACAGGGGGAGCCAAATCATATGATCCACACCACATTACTTGATGACTGCAGCTTTGAGTCAAAAGCGGCTGTGATAAGCAGCTACGATTCTACAAGCTCAGATCTATGCTAAATCATATGGGTCAGCTAACCAAGCAGTCTGTGCTCTATTAGATAAGCGGCCGCTGCAACATTAAGGGACACAGAAGAGCAGACTACTTGGTGAAAATGTGAAGTCACAATGAGCAAACATATTCTAGATGCACTAATCGGGAGGGGAGGGGGCAGAGACCAAGGCAGCCTTTAGAATCCACTGGAACACTCATCTAGGAAACAATTCTGAAGACTTCGTCAACCTCTTCACACTAAAGAAACAGACCAATATATTTAGATTGCAATAGGAATAAACTCACAGGGAGCAAGTACAGCAGGGATCTACCAGTCGTCAGTAGAAATTATCCTCGTCGACAAGTGTTTCGGCCCACGATTCCTATACACTTTCTGATTCCTGGACACAACGGACCCTGCAGCTATTTGTACAATAAATTTAAAAGTGGGAACTCAGAACATTGCCTGTGTGATCAGGCACCACAGAATACAGAATACCAGCAGAAATATCACAGGTTTAGCTAGATGACATTCCAATGGAAGCCTGGCTGTATAGAACAGTGGAAGCCATGTGTGGCACTGCAGACTGCATAAAGACTGGTGGCCTCCTCATTTGGGAACCACTGTTAGCAAGAACAAAAAAGAAGAATTATGTACGAAAACTCATAAAAGCCATGTATTCTTGTTGATTGTGCAGTATGACAGGGCATTCAGTTCATTGATTTCTTTCTCCTCCACTTGCTCCGTTGCCTTTTCCAAATCCTTGTGGCGCTTCCTTCCAAGAACTTTCTGAAGACTATCAGGTCTTTTTTGTTCACGTCGGTAAGCGGCTCTGCCTATAGTTTTGTGTCTCGTATACTGCCAGTCATTTCTAATATATTTCTTACATGTGTACCAAACTGTCAGCACCGCTCCTCCATTTTGTGTCTCACTCTACATTTCCTTTCCTGCAACCTTCTTGCTGTTACACTTTTTTTTTTTTGAATAATTCCATTTCATGGTGTGCTCCTAAAAATATAAACTCTCTGAAAAGCGTGACAAATAGCATCTGTCGATAATGTCTTTCAAGACAAATTCGTAAGGCTTTTTCTGTCTATAGTGCTCTGACTTCTTCTTCTTCTCAACCTGGCCATCAACCATATCAAACTAAGTCGCCCTATTCTATGCTATCGCATGCATTTCACCCTATGCCCTCTATTCGGGCAGGCAGCAGAGAGACCACTGCTCTCCTAATTTAGCAGTCTGCCAAAATTCTTTAAGTGACGAATATTGAACTAAGAATCGACATCATAGCACTCGGGACACTCCCATGAACCCTCCGTTCCCATCTTCAGCAGCAAGCGAAAAGTTCAAATTTCGATGGGACAGTAACTGTCTGATTGTTCATGCGTCTCGCCTTTTCCTTGAGTGCTGAGCGTCGGCCAGTTCGCCTGGTAACTCCTCACCATTCTCTGCAGACCTTAATGATCTTTTTCTGCCTCCACACTGTTCATTCGCTCCCAAAGGGGCCTCACAATATCTAGCTTGTCATACATCAGTTCACTACTGAGTGGTGCAGAACCACCCAGTCTAACTGTTTGCTCGTTTCCCAACACAGCTTAATACCACCAACAGGCTTTGTCGTAAACGTACTGGTGTTACCTTTCCTTTGGAGTAAACAAGACTGCTAAAGGAAAGGATTATGATGCATGGGCAACACGTTGACTCTACAACAGGTCTGAGGTTATTAAGACGTGCTCTAATTGTGGAAGACGAAGCGGGTTATGCACAGTATAGCACCGTGTAACACTATCGTCTGCAAGGACGGCAAAATGCCAATAACAGTTACCATTACTTATTTGTTATTATGGAGAGAAAGAAACAGCACTACTTTTGAACATGAATCAACATTACTGAATGAGATAAAAGTCAATTAAAATAGTTCGAATTTCCAAACAGTTCGTTGGTTAAAAAGTGTGCTGGAAAGACAAGTGCAAATGCACGGTGCAAGTGGATTCGAAAATTGTGCACGGGTGGATGTCAGATGGACCACACGACGATTGTTTTGGGTTACCAATGAAGGCACAGAGTTTAATATGTAGTAATAATATTTTATGATTACAACTGGATAATGCTCTTTCAGCAAATACACAAAGAGCTTGGGCAATGTCCTCTTGCACAGTTATCCCGACACCATGTATCGTAACCCTGAACACTGGCAAACCCACCTGCAGCTCTGCATCCCGTTTCCCGCTTAGTGCCATGCATGTACTGGAATTTGTCACACTGACAGTGCGTTTCTGGACAATGACCTAACTGACAGTTCAGTTGACACCATTCGTCAAGGTCCGTATAGTGTCCCACACCTCGGCAAACGATATTATCCCCATTTATGCTTCTGTCATCTGGGGACTGTAGGTAATTCGAAGCATCATTCTCAGCCCCATTGTAAACACGATCGTACTTTCTAGAACTGTCAGTAGACATAGTCGTTGTTCGCTCACTAGGATATGAATTGGTGGTTGTAGCTGTGTATTTGGGTGCTTCTTTGACTGGTTCTTCGATGACAGGCTGTGATGAGCTATGAGGAAGAATTCGTATGTCTGAACAACCGTAGAATTCTTCTTGATTACCGCATCCGATGCATGACTTTCCATCAGGGTCGGTGCCCCAACTATTGCCTTTGGAGAAACAAAAACAAATATATATATATATTCCATTAGTTGTTTACTTGGGTGATTAACTACAATCGAATGCCTAGTAATCTAAACACATACATATGTTAAAAGTCTATCATCAGCTATATGAATTGCAAACGATGTATTACCCCCATCTTTAAAGTATTATCAGAATGTCTATAAAAAAAAAAATACGCACATTACAAATGATATAATGTTTTAGTATTTGACACTGACACACACACACACACACACACACACACACACACACACACACACACACAAACACATACAAACACACACACACACACATATATATTTTCCTTGAGTGCTGAGCGTCGGCTCTGTGGCTAAGTCGATGCGAACGTTTTGTAATGCCGGGATGCCGGGTTCGATCCCAGCTGTGGGCCATGCGCCTTGCGTTGGTTTCGACAGCGGTATCAAGAAAGCCGACCGTCCAGTAAGCAATGGCAAACTACTGGACGTAAATTTGCCTAGAAAAACCATACAACGGCCAGGGGCTGTTGGGGTTGGTTCTGCAACGTCCTGTAAAGGATACGCAACTAACTTGTGAGTGCTGAGCGTCCACCAAATCGCCTGGTAACTCCTCGCCATTGTCTTCGGATCCTAATGATCTATGTTGGCCTCTACACTGTTAATTCGCTCCGTTGCCTTTCCCAAATCCTTGTGGCGCTTCCTGGGAAGAACTTTCTGAAAACTATCAGGTCTTTTTGTTCCCGTCGGCTACAGTGTCTACCTACAGTTTTGTGTCTCGTATACTGCCAGTCATTTCTCATTTCTGCAGAATGGCACAGTCTTCAGTTCATTGAGAGCGAATGTATGTATATATACATACATATGAGAAAGAGAGAGAGAGAGAGACAGAGAGAGAGAGAGAGAGAGAGAGAGAGAGAGAGAGAGAGAGAGAGAGAGAGAGAGAGAGAGAGAGAGAGAGAGAGAGAGAATAGGAAGTCAAACTGACATAATGTTGGACAATCAGAAGACAGACGGACGGATAGACAGATAGACGGAAACTGATAGATAAATGTATCGATGGATAGATGGATTAATGCATGGATTATTGAATGGTTGGATGGATGGACTGATACACAGAAGATATTTGTTTTAAAACTACAGTTACGGTCGATCCAGAGATAGAGAAAAAAAAAAGGAGGTAGAAAGATTCTTGATAGAATTTTGTCCTAGCATAGAACAAGGTAACCAGATTTACATAGTGTTGGAGATCGAAGGATGTGGAAAGGTACAATCACCATCGCCAGTCGGCAAAGGCGGCAGCACTTGATGTTGATGATGATGATGGCAATAATGACGACGACGATGAGATGATGATTACGATGATGGTTACGATAATGCGAGTCTGGGCTATATGAACGTACATATCAAAGATAAGGTTATCATCATCATCATAATCAGGTGCCTTGTCGACTGGCGTGGGCGATCATGCCACTCCACAATCCGCGATCTCCTGCAGCATGTATTTGTTCGTGTGCTGACACACCTCCCTGCCATGCAACACGACTGTCAAGAATCTTCTCTCGTTGTCTTCCTTTATCCCTCCTTTCACTGATCTTTCCAGTGGTCACAACATGTTTCAATTTCCCTCTTCTCATAAGCTGGCCGAAAAATGATGTGTGTCTCCATCTGATGTCTGTGAAAAGCTCCTGTATCTTCTAAAACCTCGTGTTTGCTCTTTTTGACTATCCAGTGTATTTTAAGCTTTTATCTGTAAAACCACCTCTCGGAGGTCTCAAGAAATTATTTGACCTGCCTACCGATTGTCCAGGAATCACCGCCAAATGGTAAAACTGGATGTATTATAGCAAGCAAGAATTCATTTTCAAACCTTCAGTGACAGAGATATATTGCATAAGATTATCGCACCTGCGTGATAACGAAACTGGAGAACACAAAACTCGCAGGTGAGATCCTTTGGAAGAGTCACGCTGATACTCCTCAAAGCATTGTCAGGCGGGTACGCTGTACTTGGAGTCGGAACTGCCTGCCAACAACACGGGGTAACGGTCGAAGCATTCTTGCGTCTCTTGTTTCTTCGGGTCGTTGGTTGGACAGATCTTGAACTCAAAGTAACCTGTTGGAAAGTAGGCGAATCGTGAATGGATAATGTCTGTCTGTCTGTCTGTCTGTCTGTCTGTCTGTCTGTCTGTCTGTCTGTCTGTCTGTCTGTCTGTCTGTCTGTCTGTCTGTCTGTCTGTCTGTCTGTCTGTCTGTCTGTCTGTCTGTCTGTCTGTCTGTCTGTCTGTCTGTCTGTCTGTCTGTCTGTCTGTCTGTCTGTCTGTCTGTCTGTCTGTCTGTCTGTCTGTCTGTCTGTCTGTCTGTCTGTTCTGTATGTCTGTCTATGCAAGCAAGCAGTTAGGCAGTTAGCAGGTAGGTAGGTAAGGAGGTGTGTGTATGTACGAAGGCAAGCACTATCTTTGTGTGCGTGTGAGAATGTCTGTGTCTCTCTTTGTCAGCATTAATATGATATCAGCTGGAAAGTATGGGAGGAATAGCATCCATATGTCTATTTGGATGGCATCTACCTGTCTGTCTGTTTACCAGGTCTTTCGTCTGCTTCTGTGAGCAGCTGCCTGATTTTTTTTCTTCTTCTTTATATTTCGCGTTCTATATTCCCGTAAATATACAAAGTAAAAGTTAAGAATATTTTTTCACGCCTGTATGCGTATTGGGTACATATGGCTATATCTATATTTTATAGTGCAGTCGGCACTCGATGGGTGATGTGGTCAGTATCACGCCGTCCCTTACCTATATATATATATATATTATATATATATATATATATATATATATATATATATATATATATATAGTCCTGCAGTAGATCGCAGATTATGGAGAGGCATGATCGCCCACGCCAGTCGGCAAGGCACCCGATGATGATGATGATGATGATATATTGTCAGCCGATGAACCAGATCTGATGGATTTATATTATTGCTAAACTGAATCCCTTTTACTGCTTATAAATAAACTAGCTTACTGTACACAAGACAACAATACCTTTATGATTTGCTGTAAGGTCAACCTGAAAGGTCACATTTTGACCCTGCCTGTAGGTCCTGGTGATAACTCCGGTGGCATACTTGCCCCCGGCTTCGTTGTCCCTCCTCCCATCGAAGGGGTCGCCACACACTCCACACTTGTAGCCTAGCTGCACCTGATGCTGTGAACAAGAAGCAAAGATAAGTCTGCTTTCATAGCAGCGTTTATCTACGTTGGTCCAAAACAAAAAGTTGAGGAACAATCAACTTTCCGAAGGAATTTACAGTCGCTGAAGGCGAAGAGAAAGAAAATATCAGTATTACACTAAACTATTTTAACTACGCTGAGAATATTTTGGCCAAACAAGTTTTCTAAAGGAAAACCGAGGTTGCAAAACAAAATCTTTGCCTTAGCAAAATATATATCAACATAAGAAGGGAATAAGTAAAGTAAAGCCAAGGACCCTTTTCCACGCCTTTAGGAGTACAGGGCATATAGGGCTAGACCTATATTTTTAAAGACCAATCGGCACAAGGTGGGTGATGTGGTCAACATAACGCCGGCCGCCTCTTCTTCCCGGGACTGCACCCGGTACCCACTCAAGGCTGGGTCGACCTGAGAGCCAAGGTCATTTTTGAAAAGTCCGGCTCCGCCACTGAGCGAACCCACGACCTTCCGAACCGCGGCGAGTGTCTAGCTGCTCCGTCACGGGGACTCCCTAAGAAGGGAATGCCTTAGACATATTTGCAGAATGCCTTATGAGACACTGGCAAAGATGTCTCTCTTGTGGACAGGAAATGGAGACTTGGACAACCTAAGCAAACCAGAAGAAAGACAAACGAAAGTGAAGCGAACGAATAAAAACAAACCTAGGAGGCCCTGTGAAGACAGCTTCAGATCAGTAGCAACGGAGACCACTTGTGAATGCTTATGTTGAATATAGAAAGACAGATTTAAATGGAAAATGCGGAAATTGGATGGAACATGGAAAAAGTTTTTATTTATCAATAGCGCCGCGTTAGCGCAGTCGATAGGAGACTCGCTTTAAAATCCAACTGTGTCTCGCTGCAGCCCAGGGCCGGTGGTCGAAACCTGGCGGTTTCCGGGGTTCACCCAGCCTCTAGGAAATTGGTACCAGAGTTAACGCTCTGGGGTTAACGGCGGAACGTCGCTGTAGATTCAGAGTTTCGTGCGGACGGCGACACAGACAGACAGTTTCTTATCAGCTGTCCGTACTGGTGGCAGAGCACTTATGGTTTGAAACCGTGTGCAATGACGCTGGTTCACATCTCTTAACTTTACGTTTTTATCTTGTACTAAAGAACACCTCATGACAGTGTAAAAACAAAGATTAAAAAAAAAAAAAATAAATAAACATGAGAACAAGTGTTCGTGTTTCTCACCTTGCAAAGCAGTGCGACATAGTAAAATCTACTATCAATGCTATCTTCAAGAGGAAAAAAAAAAAAGATTCCCTAAAGACGGTAGATGTGACTAAAAAATTGACCATGTTAACGAATCAAGGGGTCCCAAGTGTTACAAGTAGAATAATTATTGTTAGTTTGGATTAATGAAAGCAGCTTGCTGGAGATAGTGTTAACGAGACCCTAATTAGCGAGAAGGCTTCAGTCACACATCCGCGCCAATTTTTACGATCTGTTTGTTCCATCCTGCAAGTCACGTCATTTTCTCCCCACATTCTGACAAAGTTGTTTGATCTGACAATAAGTTCTGATATTATTTTCGGTACTTTGGTAAGATAACCTCAAGTTCAAATCCTCAGCCAGGCGAGCAGATTTCGTTCTTTAGTCGAAAGACACGACCAATATATTGAATAATGAAGCAATAAATGCATAAATAAATACGATTGACCATCATTACTTAGTTACGTAATTAGTTAATCGACATATTATCCTCATTGCACATGGAACCATTCAGTCCATAAGTGCTCGGATACCTTCCTTAGTCAATCCCGCAGCGTGTACAACAGTTCTGTGTCGTATTCCTGTTCTTCTTTGGCCTCCTGCACAGTGCTCTTGTCTGCCTACAGCCCTCTTTACGTGCTGTTCTTGCAGTCGGGTCATTATTGCACAGATTCACAGCCATATATTGGTTCTCAAACATTTTACTTCTAGTACAAAATTTAGAGAATCTGCCTAGAAACTAATATGTGCTAGCCCCGACCGATTTAGTGACTTCAACCACTGTTTTCTTATCCAGCCTATCGATTTAGAGACTTCAACCACTGTTTTCTTATCCAGCCTATCGATTTAGAGACTTTAACCACTGTTTTCGTATCCAGAATATCGATTTAGAGACTTCAACCACTGTTTTCGTATCCAGCCCATCGATTTAGTGACTCCAACCACTGTTTTCGGATCCAGCCCATTGATTTAGTGACTCCAACCACTGTTTTCGGATTAAGCCCATCGATTTAGTAACTCCAACCACTGTTTTCGGATCCAGCCCATCGATTTAGAGACTGCAACCACTGTTTTCGGATCCAGCCCACCATTAGTGACTCCACCACTGTTTTCATATATAGCCCATTTAGTGACTCCAAACACTGTTTTCGGATCAAGCCTATCGATTTAGAGACTCCAACCACTGTTTTCTGATCAAGCACATCGATTTTGAGACTCCAGCCCGTTTTTGGATCCAGCCCATCGATTTAGAGACTGCAACCACTTTTTTTCGGATCCAGCCCAACGATTTAGAGATTGCAACCACTGTTTTCGGATCCAGCGCATCGATTTAGAGACTGCAACCACTGTTTTCGGATCCAGCCCATCGATTTAGAAGCTCCAGCCAGTGTTTTCGGATCCAGCCCATCGATTTAGAATTAGGGTCCAGAAATGGGGAGATTTTGCATCAGCACACCCTGGGTAAACATCGGTATGCGGGTCATCTACCATACTTGACCGAGAATATAATCAAGTATTTTTAAAATACCCAGACAGGCGCCCATGGACAATAGGTAAACAACTATGGGTTCCTGCAGCTTATGGACGATAGGTAAACAACTATGGGTTCCTGCCGCAAAACTTCGCTTTTGGAAAAAGTCTGGTTTCTTTGAGAGTATCTATTCTCTTTGTAGACTTTTTTTGTAAAGTAAAAAAAGTAAAGATCCCTTAATACGCCTAAGGCGCATCGGGTATATGGGCAGAGCGTCCCATATTTTTACAGACCAATCGGCACTCGGTGGGTAATGTGGTCAGCATTACGCCGGCCGTCTTTACTTCCCCAGGACAGCCACCCTGGTACACATTTGAGGCTGGGTCGACCTGCGACGTCCACGATAAAAATCCTCGCAGCCCGCAGCGGGTTTCGATCGCGGTACGTTGGATTACGAGTCGGACTCGCAACGCCTTAGCCACGGACGCTGCCTTTGTAGACTTTTACACTTCAATAAATGTGTATCTGTATTCTCGAATAAATGTAGATTTTTACATACAATAATAGGGTTAATGTTTATTCATATTTATGTTTATTCAACAGAACAACATCAGAACACAAGGATGTAACCCATAAATGTTCCCTTCTACTTCTAACTCAAACCCGAGTATGAAGAATCTCAGCGCAGTGCACGAACTCCGTTGCAGCGGCGAGGATCCTCAAATACTTTACTTTGGGTAGATATCTAAGTCCGAATTTCGCCCGGGCAACGCCGTTAGGTTAGTCTTTTTTTTTAAATTTTTTTTATTTCCAATTAAAAATTAACAAGTTAAATAACAAAAATCCCTTTGAAATAAAGCGCCAGCTGCATCATTTGAAGCAAAATTCATTACAAGATCCTGCTATCCTCCGAATGACGGTCCCAAATTATCGAGGCTGAAAATATACCCTAACAGGGCCTCAATCACATGTAAATTGCGGACTTCCGGCGATTTAAATTGCGGACTTCCGGCGACTACAGCCACCACCGACAGTATCTTGGCTGAACTAGATGGCTGGGACTAGTGCATCTCCTGCAGCTTCCTTTATTTTATTTGCTCGTGAGTCCCAGCCATCTCTCGGTGGTGGCGGTAGTCGCGGAAGTCCGCAATTTAAGTTTACATGTGACTGAGGCCCCGTTAGGGTATACTTTCGGCCTGGATAATTTGGGACCGTTATTCGGAGGATAGCCCAAGATCCGGTCTTTATGTGTGTGAAGTAAATAAGGTACCACACTATCATACCTATCACCTCATCCTTCACTTACCTCAAAACCACCACAAAACAACTCATTGTCTTGGTAGTTAACCGGAGTCCCAAACTCTCTTCTCCACATGGTGCTTCTTCCCGGGGGTTCCCAAAGACGAGCGTGACCATCAACTGGCGGCAGCATTGCCAACATAAGACTTATAAAAGCAGAAGCAGTAACGTGTGTCACTGCCATCTTCAGTTGCAACGACTCTGTAAGGATAGAAATATACAGAATTACTAGTCTTACTGTGAACCGCCATTGTGTAGAGGCTAGGCGTTCGCATGGGGCTCGGAAGGTCGTGCTTCAGGTCGTGATAGAGCCAGACGTTTTATTTCAAAATGACCTTGGCTTCCAGGTAGACACAGCCGTAAATGGCCTTTCTTACTTATTTACTTACTTAGTTGCTCCTCTTCTACCTTGGCTTGTAGAGGTTTGACAGAGAGATCGCCAGAATTATCTGTCAGCAGTTTATTTTCTGGCTTTGTTCCATTTGAGTCCTTTATGTTAAGAGGTGTCGGATTTTATCTTCCCAGCGGACAATATGTCGCCTTAAATGGTTACCAGGTACATTCCTGGGAAGTAAAGCCATAGAAAAAAGTCTTCTAGTAGTGTTAAAACACCGATGCCTCGACTGCACGGAAACTGCATTTTGGGCAATTAATGATGCCTGCATGTAACGTCGTAGTGTATCTTCCTGAACGGCGAGAAACTAAGAATTTTTAGATAAATATTACTGATCTGTAAAACGGATATACACGCAGAACTCAAATTCTAGAACAATGCTAAAGGCAGGAAGTGTACAAACGACCTGTACTAATCGATTGAGTTTTCAGGCCGTGAATACTAAGTAGAAGAAGAAGTAGAAGATTTCATAGGAAATAATAGCCGACAATGTGTCATTGACATAATGACCCGTCAACTGTCAATTGGTGCATACAGATATGAGTCCGTCATCAAACGCCCGGGTCGCAACTGGCATTTTAAAGCCCTCTTTACTTACCTCACCTTTGATAACTGCAACTAGTCGCCAGACAGTGGGTTTGAAAGTCGTGGGTTCAAATCCGCATGAAATGATTATTTTTTTTAAGAGCCTTCGCTCCCAAGTTGATCCAGCCGAAAATAGTAAAGTCATGAGAGGTAAAGGCGGCGGGTGGGATGTTGACCACATCGCCAATCGAATAGGAAGTGAAATAGATATAATGGAAACACTTTATCAAAGATTTATAAAACAGTGTAAAAAAAAAAAAAACTTTAAACGGTTCCACGTAACAACTTTCCAGGACTTTACCTGGTAACCATTTAAGGCGACACATTGCTCGCTGGGGAGACAGCATCCGACAGTCCCTAGAAAACAGAGGACTCGAAGGAACAAAGCCAGCCACACACGCACGCACGCACACACACAAAGAAAACTCCTGATAGAGAAGTCTGGTAATCTTTCTGGCTGTGAGTGTGAACGTGATTCATATATTCCTACAAGTGAGTTCTACGTTCTTGTGAATGGGTGTATCTAAAGGGTGTCAACTTTTTTTAATGCGGGATCTTTAATACAGTTCCTCAAGTTGTGGCTACACCCAGGCATACACTTATTTTCGTTACCACTTAATAACTTCCATGAATATATCTTTTACGATGGTCTTCTCCGACCATTGTGACAGGGACATTTGACCCACATGTTGAGAACCTCTGCCCTATACCAACACGAAGCCGCCCTGGTGAAACGGCTTGACGCTCGCCTACTGATCCAAAGGTCATGAGTTTGAGTCCTGACGAAGCCGTACGTTTTGTTTTCGAAAATGACCTTGGTTCCTAGGTTGAGCCACCAGAAATGTATACCAGGTATAGTCCTGGGAAGCAAAGGTGGCTGGCGTGGTAGTGACCACATTATCCCCAAGTGCCGATTGGTCTATAAAAGATAAGTCTAGCTGTAAATGCCCAACACGCACGAAGGCGTGGTAAAGTGTCTTTTACTTATACCGGAAAAGTTAACAGGAACATATTTAAAATGGAAGACTACAAATTATTTGCAAAAATATTGTGTTTATTATTATAAGCGTAGAAGGCGGAACTATGACGGCGAATTTGACACGGGAATACCCATTCAACAAATTAAAAGTGTGGTGGGGGGGGGGGGGGGGGGGGGGGGGGGGGGGGGGGGGGGGGGGGGGGGGGGGGTGGGGGGGGGGGGGGGCCTTAGGAGGGGGGGCCTTAAAAGATAACAAACTCTGAATATTATTTTTAGGAACTCTAATTGAATGTCCGAAACTATGACTTCTTTAACCAAGGCTGAAATCACGTTCTGAAGTTGGGACATACACTGGGTATAGTAGACTTCCGTAGCTACATATGTCCTGTCTTATAATATAGATATAGACCTTCCTAGTGTGGGTTTCTGAGACCATGTGCAGGGTGGGGAACGGGGCTGAGCCACTACCCCTTACAAGCATGCCCCTAAATTCGACTAACTGAGTGAGTAAGTAAAGGACCCCCTTTTCCAACCTTGAGGAGTATTGGGCACATAGGGCTAGACCTATATTTTATAAACCAAACAGAACTTGGTGGGTGATGTAGTCAGCATTACGACGGTCGCCTTTACTTTCCAGGACTGTACCTACCTGGTACCCACTCAAATCTTGGTCGCTCAGTGAGCCAAGGTCGTTTTAAACGAAAATTTCGGCTCCTGTCAAGACCCGAACCCACGACCTTCCGATCCGCAGGCAAAGGTCTAACCGCTAGACCACGGCGGCATCTCGACTAATTAGGGGGATGCTAAAAATCGGATCTGTGTGGCTGAAATATGTAAATATCGCACCTTCGCAGTAAACCACAACAAACAGTGTTAACAGCCCTTCTGAAAAGATAATAAAATTATACAGACCTGTAACACAATAAATTTTTACTAATATTCGAATAAAGTCACGCCTAGACTCAACAGCAGTAACACAAGAATGGCTGTTAACACGCAAACTGTGGTTTAGATTCCGAGAACATATGGTTATAAACATACAACTCTGTAAAGAACCTGACTAAGTGGGTGGCAACGTGATTCATATATGCTTTCAAGAGAGTTTTGCATTCTTATGAATGGGTGTGTTTAAAGGGTTTCAAGTGCTGATAACAACTTAACTTCGTTGTATTCCCTCTGTAAATGTTGCTGTTTGAGCATGCGTTAAATCTAATAGGAAGTGCATTGTTTAGTTTCTGCATATGGTTAAATGAAGTGTGGTGACAATACTCATAATTGGAGTCACGCGTGTGTCGGCGTTGTTGCAGATTCGAGATTATAGAGGCCGAAGTCCGGAGGCGTAAAGAAACTTTGGGTTAGGTTCACGTAAATCTCCCCAAACAAAGTAGGTCACTTTTGATTCACAAAAGTGTTGGGCTGGTCGACTTTCCTGAGTGTTACGGGTATGTCCCCCCTTTTATTGTTTGCTTTCAGTGTTGTCTTGAATTTACATTTTCATTCCGAGAAAGAAAATACCTCTTACATGCAGCACTCTGTGTGGCAGAGGGGGGAGGGGGGAGGGGGATTTTCAACACTATCAATGGATTCGCGAAACACCCCTTTTACCTTGTCCTAAGGCCACGGGGTACAGGAACTACCAACAAGAGGTGAGCTAGTGCGTATATGGGTGGAGCCTAGGGAGACTAACGTTACTTGTTCCCAACTCTGAATACCCTCTACCCTTTTTTCTTTTTCCCGTAAACTTTGTGAAGGCCGACCTTTCCCTCCCATAACTAAAAGTTCTCTATTTCACTTTTTGTTGATGCATTTTATTTAATTTCAAATATTCTGTACTTGTTATCAAATAAGTACATTATTGTTGCTGTTGTTGCAAAGAGGAGCGGCCGGCCGAACAGTTAGAATGTTTGGTTCTAAAGCGGAGGACCTGGGTTCGAACCCTCGGTAAGGCTGGGGATTTTTTTCTGTCAGAGGCAAAAAAAACTCACCTGCACAGTCGTGGCGACGGCACTAGCCATGTGGCCGTAAATCCTCAGGCTCACAGATCCCCCCCCCCCAACCCACCCGCATACACCGCAAAGGTAGTATAATGAAGGAAACAATTGGCGGTTGTTGCCAAGAAAGAGGCAGCTTGTCCAGAATGTGTCATTAGGCAGAGTGCTAATTAAAACATCAATGCATCAGGCCTCGAAACTCATTTGTAACAATCCACGGCTCCAGAGGTTTCACAACAAAGCATTCAACCAACCAGCCAACAAATTATCTAAGGGTGAAGTATTGGGCATGCAGGTCCGTCTAACATTCTGCCCTTCTAAGCTGCTTCCTTTCAAACACCATGTCATTCAATCAGTCAGCAAGTAAAGGGTCTTTATAATGTCTTAAGGCGTATTGGACATATCAGGCTAAACCTATATTTTATAGACCGATCGTCACACTGTTGCTGATGTCAACATCATGACGGTCACCTTTACATCCCAGGACTATACCCAGTACCCATTCAAGGTTGGGTCGATCTGAGAGTAGGTCATTAAAAAAATTAAAGCCTGGCTCCGCCAGGGACCCGAACCCACGACAGTTCGATCCGCAGGCGAGCGTCTAGCCGCTACACCATGACATAAAGCCAGCCAGTCAATCTTTTCCCAGATTAAACTCTCAGTGAAAAATAAAAGTAAAGGACCTTCTTATTAAAGCGTGTACTATATTCGGGAAATAAGGGAAACATCGTACTATACTTGGGAAATAAGGGAAACATCGTACTATACTTGGGAAATAAAGGAAACATCGCACTATACTTGGGAAATAACGGAAACATCGTACTATACTTGGGAAATAAGGGAAACATCGTACTATACTTGGGAAATAAAGGAAACATCGCACTATACTTGGGAAATAACGGAAACATCGCACTATACTTGGGAAATAACGGAAACATCGTACTATACTTGGGAAATAAGGGAAACATCGTACTATACTTGGGAAATAAGGGAAACATCGTACTATACTTGGAAAATAAGGGAAACATAGTACTATACTCGGGAAATAAGGGAAACATCACACCGGCTGCTTCTACCTCCCAGGACGTTTCCTGGTAATTAAGTTAGGCTGGATGGTTAGGGAAGCAAAGGTCAAGTTTGAGCGGGCAGAGGGAGACGTGGTGTCTGACTCATTGTGGATTCAAAATCAAGACCTTTGTGTCGGCAGACGAGCTTCAAACGACTACACTAACGCA